CTTTTTAAAAACACAAAAAATATAAGTTTTTTTTTTTTTTAAAGGAATATTTTAATCTAAAAGAAAGACTCTGGTTCCAATAAAACTGACAGAAGAAATGAAAAAAGATAAAAATGATTTTGCATGCTGGAGAAAAAAATAAAAAAAAAACCCAGAGAAACCATGAATTTTTACATCACTGCCTTAAGTATACACATAAAATATACATATAAAACCATTTTCCGCTTATGAATGAAATGTTTTTTCAAGAACGGTAAAAGAAAATCTGTGTGCAAAGGTAAGATTGTCCTGAAGGCAAAAAAGGTGCTAATGTGGTTTCTTGTCACATCTGACTGGTTTGACGTCTTTAGTTTCTTCTGTTTTCTCTGCGTTCTGTTAAAAATAATCCTCCTCAGATAGTTTTCTTCTTTGTTGGAGTCTCATCTTTTCTTTCAACTAAAGAGTCTCTCTCAGTTATTTTTCTTTTTTGTCTCGTAGTTCTCACGGCGGCGGCTGGTGTATTAGACGCTGTTTTGTCCTCATTGGTCTGATCTCGTTTGGTGGATGTGGTCGTTGGTATAAAAGGTCCTTTTGCATCAGATTGGTCTTTAACAGCCTCCTCACAGACCACCGCCTCTTTTTCCAGTCTTGAATTTGGGGTTTCAGCTGTGCTGACCTCTGACCTCTGTCCCCTTCCAGGTGTCTCTGTGGGTTTTGGTTCCTTTTCCTGTGACTTCTTAGTTTCTACAGACGTCTTAGCAGCTGATGATGATGATGAACGAGTCAGTCGACCTGAAGAGGAAGAAGCTGTTAGGTAGGTAAGAAAAAAGTAGAATTAATTCTAACATAAAGGAACATTTCCACAAATAAACTTCATGATTAAAACTTTAATACCAAAAGCTATCGGCAACACATGTTTGCATCATCTCAAATATTACTTCAACCTAAATTTGAATATTTATGGACATGGAAAAAAAATTTAAATATATGCATACTAACATTGACAACTAACAACTATCTGTTGGCTGCTAAAGGTTAGGACATCTAACTGTTAATGATGCAGAGCTAGCTTATATGAAAACAGAAGGTGGATATTTCCGATTATTATTGCTGATGATTTGTTTCTGTCCTGCTCTTACCTCATTAAAGAGACAGACTGTTATCGTTGCTTATGAGCAAATATAGCAAATCTCTCTTACTTGTGTAAAGCTCCTACCCGAACAAATTTACTGCTTTTATTCAAAGAGCAGCTGAGCAGCTCCTTTAGTGAAAGACTTTTAAACCCGGTTTACAAAAAGGAGTGCTACCGCAGGTCCTTTATCCCTGCTGCCATCACTTTACTTGAACTGCAATAACTTGTGGAATAACTAATGTGCAATCATTATTTGGTACCATGCGCAATAACTATAGATTAGGGATGAGAACATTTCGCAAGAAGAGGAGAATTTCATAAACTTTAAACAGAGGCAAAATAGTTTTTACCTGCTTTCCAATAGTTTAGATGTTAAAAATAGCATATTTGTATTAATTTCCTGGGATATCAATATCAGATCGAGATGTCCCTTAAAAGCTAAAATTTATTTGTTTTTAAAAAGCCAACTCTCTTCATCCCAGCAGTTATAATCTAACTCAGGAGGGTTTCTAATGACCAAAACAATACAGCCGCTGCTCTTCCAGCTTCCTTTAACTCACAGCTGCAGGAAATTATTGTCTGTTTTTTTTTTGCATTATAGGTAAGTTACTTAACTTTCCTTTACACAGGCTTGAAGGAAATACATTTTTGTTTTTCTTTAACATTTAATAAGGCTACAAAGTGTTATAAAAACATCTAAAAATATTCCAAATGTTTAAGGACATGAAGAGATGTTTCTGCTGCTTCTCCAGCTTTCTGTAAAGAACTATTATGGGCGTTTCTCAATTCACGAGAATGCGAGTACGTTCTTGGCGAGAACGCAGGAAGATCGGACTTGACGAGAACGCGAGCACGCAAGCACGTATGTGTATTGGAGCAGAAGCGTACTCGTGACGTCATCACAGGCAACGTTGTTTAGCATTTCTTTAACAGTCATTAAATTTTTGTCCCTCGGCAAAATA